TGCAGATCTCGTGATTTGGACGCTACGACTAATAAATTTTTCAAAATCAATGTCATATATATGAAAATTTCGATATGTGTTCATTTTATCCATCTTACAAATCTCTGAGCCTTACATAGAGAATAGTTCAGAAGAAAATAGATTAATGATCTTCGAATTTTGCAAAGTTCCGTATTTGACGCAGATTTTCAAATAACAAGCTGAACTTTTCGAAAAAAAAGAGCAAAGAAACTTGCAAAAAACGGGATTCTCTCTGCATGACTCGAGCTTCCAAATCATGTGCGCGTAAATGGCTTTAAAACTGAATAGGAAGCGGAGAGCAGTTCAAGTGATAGAGGCTACTGAACTAACGGGCTCAGAGCTCTTAGCTTAGCTGTGTTGAGACCCAACGCTTTTCTGCGCAGCAGAGACATAAATGACAGTGTGATTACTTCAAAGCTCTGCGAACAACGAGCGCAATTAGACGGCTTTCTGAGATATCAACATTTCGTAAAACTTCGCAGTTCAATCATTCAATAGTCCGTCTTTGTTATCCGGCAAAACAGGTTCTTAAAAAGTAGCATAGGTTAGCTGATCACATGTTGAGAATAGATGATTGATGATCAAAAAGAAGCATCGAAATGATCTTTCCCGAAGCAAAACGTCCTAGAGAGAGATCAACAACCAGATGGGCTGCCGAGTCCGTCGCACTAGTTGTGAAAAAGGTGATCCTTTTAGCAACGAATACGATAGCATAAAGATCATTTGACTTGGCTTCCGTGAACTATGCTGCTGCCTTTGACGTTGATAATGTGGATGGCGCTAGCCAGAAAGGAAACAATGCCGAGCGTTTAAACAAGGAAAACCAAGCCATTTTATACCTAGGTGAATACCTGATTTCCAAAATGTTTCTCCGTCTTCACTTGGCCTTTCCCGTTGCGTATTACTGGGTATAAATGCGCGCGGATTTCCACACAAGACTGATTAATAAGCCAGTGTTGCTTTTTTACACAAAAACTCTTCTGTAATCTTATAAATAGAGAAACATGGTCGCCGGGCACATTTTTCTCGACTTCTCGTGTGGAGACTTGCACCTAAATTTCCGGTGGTAAATATCTTCAATGTATATGTATATATGTATCTTTCATCCATTTTATTCTCCTCCTCCTTTCCTTTGCTTTCAAATTTATGATTCTTTATCTTCAAAATGGCGATTTGGCGAACAGAAGTTACAGTGTCTTCCGCAACACTGACGGATTTTGCTTATCATCCAATTACCTCCCTGAGACAATATTGGGTGGTCACATATAGACATCGGTCATGCTCCGGCGTCAACCTGCCGCGTCGCTTTACCTTGGCCGCAATGCGTGCCTGACTCCGCTTAGAATACGCCGGGGAACCGACTATACCTACTAGCGATCAATGCTCGTTTTTCCGCTCTTTTATAGGATTTATCAGATGTTGTAAATTAGCGCTCTTTCATTGCCCTGCAAAACCGCTTACAGCGTGTCATTTGAATTTTTTTTTTCAATCGAAGAGAAACAAACTCCAAACCGATAGAAGAACGCATTTCCGACACATAGATTTATTCATTCTCTGCGCTTATTTGAAAAGCGATCCTATTTAAAGTGGAGCAAAGAATCAAAGTATAGTACTCATCATTGCATAAACGCAGTGTCCGGGTAGTATTCGAGTTCACATTTCTAAATTGCAATTACCTGAAAATGTCGAAAAGTTGGTTGGAGATTTTGGGCCCTCTCTAGGTTGATCAGGGCGAGTAGTAGCTACACCGATTTTAAAATGCGATTCTCGGTACTTCCCAGAACGACTCTAGTGCGCCTTTATCACTAGAGACCATTACTTTTGTGAGAAGCCAAACGGGAGGGCTGAGGAATTTCTGAGTGAGCGGAGCTAAAAGGGGC